CACACACACACGCACACACACACGGATATTTTATATAGATTCATTTATATATTGTATATATTTCCAAAGATATAAATCTAATATCAAAATGTATGAAAACCTTCTGGATCTGTTTTTTAAATGAATGATTATTGCAAAAAGTAAAACATAACAATAATATATTTATTAATTTGGATTGTTTTTTATGGACTGTGTGAATATTGTATATTATGAAATTAAAAATAAAACTAACAATAAAAGAACAAAAATATATATTAAAATTATTATATTGGTCAAATTAAGACTATTGAATGTCTTACACACAAACATATATAACACATATTTTAAAACCTTTTTATATATAAATAAAATAAAATGTATATATATTTGCAACAGTTGTGTCAGCAGCAATAATAAGACATGGACACCACGGTGCTGCGTTGTCATGGGAACATCCCAGGCGAAGATAATGAGGAAGTTACGGCTTCTAAACCGTGAATGATATTCAAATGAAGATTGTTTTCAGCCGCCATTTATCAACGGCCGATTATTCGTACGACGTGATTGGCTGTATTCGAATGTTTCATGATTCACACGTGAACCCTGTCGTAAGATGATTTCTGCGCTCGGATCTACGTTAGATTGATAAATGAGGCCCACTTAGTAAAGTAGGCTATAAACGCAGGGCTCTTTCTGGAACTTCTCAAAAACTTCCTCTGAGATTCTCAAGGCAACAATCTGAAAAGCAAGGTGAGTTTTTGGAACATACTGAATAACATTTGCTGTGTTTTTTTAAGTGCATTGAGAATCCGCAGTGTGCAGCATTTGAGTGCAGACATTTAACTTTACTTGCTTATTCATTTTCAGATTCATCATGGCAATGCTGAGAAGTCTTCTGCTGCTTTTCGTTATCTTCTCCATGGGCAATGCAGCACATATTTACTTATATTTACATGATTAATGAAGGATTTTCAGTGTCAAAATACACATAATTTTTGGCATATAATCACAACCAAAATAAAAAACTCTTTTTGTTGTAAATATTACAAATCCCCATAACATTTATGTACTGATCCACACTTGATTTAGTAGGATGCCGACATGGATGGACCAATTTTGGACAGCGGTGCTACAAGTACTTCTCTCTATCGGTTCACTGGGTAAAAGCAGAGGTAATGTTAGAGGTAACGCGCGAGAGATCACTTCCGGTGCTTTCCGGAAAAGACCGAAGCGCTCGCAACCTCAGATCACTTGGACGTGGCTGGGTTTACAAGAGGTAAAAACGATATAAATACTGTTTGTTTTCTCACACAAACCGCTCGTTTCATGTCTTAGGCCATCAATGTGTACTAACATTTACGAGTCATTAAATCATGTTTAATATGGACTTCTCTGTGCATGCTCTTTGAGGTGGTGACCATAGACCTGCATTATATGACCGACAGACAAGAACGGTTTGACCTAAAAATATTAAAATTGAAAATACTGTGGACACAAAGACACCTACATCTTGGATGCCCTTGAGGTAAGCCAAAACATACCAAAAATTAATTTCAACGTGAACTATCCCTGTAAAGGAGCTGTATGTAAGATTGTGGCCAAAACTGGTATTGCAATCACTTTCAAATTACTGTAGAGCGGTGTATCCCCTCCCCCTCCCCCCCTGACTCGAGGTTGCCAGATAGGCTGCAGGAACGTAGGCTGCTACAAGGAGCTTTCAACTAGAGCAGAGCTGGCAACCCAGATGCCAAAACACTACTGACTTCGTGATTGGTAGATAGGTGGAGGGTGGGGCTTCAGGCCAAAACACAAGATGTCAACATCAGTTGAGGGCTGCAACTTCACTTTTTAAATGACAATATCGTGGCCGTACTACTGTTGTCAGTGATATAAGTATTTGAAATGAACATGATTTCTTAATGTCTAGAGACACATCAGGGCCATTTTATGATTAATTGAAATGCCTTTCTTACATACAGCTCCCTTAATTTAAGTATTACAGATTAAAGATTCTTAGTGTTTCTTTTGAAGCAATTTCTCTTCTGCAAATAAATGCAACACAAAACCGATACAGAGCAAATAATCGATCAGAGCAGACTTTGTTTGCAAATAACTAAAATTGTTTAAAGTCAATTATGCTTCTAAAAAGATTATATTTTGCAATGTCACACATCTGTCTCTTCAGAGAAACTGTCAAAGTCTTGGTGCGAATCTCGCATCTGTGCATGATCAACCAGAGAATGATTTCCTGCTGAGTCTGTTGCCTTCCTCCACAAGAGCTTGGGTTGGTGGTCATGAGGGTGAACAAGTAAGTTAAACAAATAGGTTTCTTTAGGGCACAATTTGTCTAAACTGAAATTTCTGCTTCAAAGGCAAAGTTTCTAATGAAGAGAGTTTGACTTCAAAGCTGAACTTAATTCGCTTGTCTGACCACTAGTGCACTTTTTGGATTCATTCTCTTTTTACTTAGGATGGAGAGTGGTTGTGGAGTGATGGATCTGTGTATGACTACGACCACTGGTGCTCTGGAGAACCGAACAATTTTGATGTTCCCGAGAACTGTTTGGAGATCAACTGGAACTGTGAGAGCAGTTAAATTATTTTTTTAAATTATAATTTGCAATCGTATAATTTCATATCATACAGTAACGTTAAACTAATCATTTGGATTTCACCAAGTGCCTTAAGTCGAACACAATTGATTCTAACGCCACTGTAATGATCAGAGTAACTGATTTCATTATTCCACCCTACAGCTAACCGTTGCTGGAACGACGCTCCCTGTTCAACCTCAATGAAATATATTTGTGTTTCGGACATTGAGATAACAACTCCTCCTCCTTTTTTTCCAGAAAACAAACCGATTTCAGAGTAACATTTCGTAAAGAAAGTATAGTACATCTCTTAATATTTTCTCTGAAACCCTCCTCAAATGAATAAAAGCATTGAATCAAAGCATGTGCATTGTGGACAATCAAGTAAATCTATATTGCATAGCAAGGTTTGAGGATCTGGTTCATTAAATGACATTTAATGAAACCAGGGAAGGTTTTTAAGCAAGTGGCTTCATCGACAAGCAAGACAAGTGTTTCCTACAATGGTTTGTGAGCAAATTTTGGTTTTCAACCAGGGCTCTTTTTGGTTTCGGTCTTATTAAAATATGATCCTGGAATTCACCATGAGCTTTACATGGTATTCTGGCAAAGTCCAAAGCCCCATGGTAATACTATGTTACACTGTTGAATGTCACATGAATAATGTAAATGTTAGGTCTGTGTCTTTTCGAAAAGAAAATGTTGGTTGGGATCTAGAGCGCCCCCTACTTCCAGCTTCATGAGGTCCCCTGGGGGTCCCTAATGCTAAACACCCCAGTTCTAAACTATAAGATCAGTCGCCTTAAACCTGAGAGATGAAGCTCAATCTGTTATGTCACACTGACACATGCGTTCTAAATCTTCAGCTGCAGTCACGGTTTCAATTTCAAATGTCATAACTTGTAGCTAAAAAGTCCATAAATGGGCTAATAGTTGTTTGTGCCATTCTGAGCATTAAAACTTTGTATTTGCATGGACTGTTGCTTTAAATTAATCACTGTTTGGGGTCACACTGACCCCACTGGACTTTTCCTTAATTTTTTTTGAAAAGTGTTGCCTTAATCTCAGGGGCATGAAACTCTGTGACTTTTCCTAAATCTAAACCCGCACAAAAAAACTGGGTTTGATTTGGTTGTTCTAAAGGTGTGTTTTTTTTTTTTTTTACCGTTTAAGGTGTTTGTGATCAAAATGACCCCACATTGAAAATGAATTGGAAAATGAAAAAAAAGACACTTTTTCATTTTGTTTGTCAAAAAAAAGGAAATCCATTATAAATCTGAATTTCTACATATAAACCAAGGACTGGTCCTAGAGCATAAAAAAAAAGTGGAACGAACTTTCTATCTCATACACACACAAACAAACACAAACACACATGTATGTGACTGCAATAGAGAGCATTTTTATAGAAATTGGCCAAAAATCAACTAAATGGCATAAATCTGATTTTTTTTACAAATGCAACATGGAACATGCATGTTCCCTCTCTCTCTCTCTCTCTCTCTCTCTCTCTCTCTCTCTCTCTCTCTCTCTCTCTCTCACTCTCTCACACACACACACACATATATATATACATACATGGATATTTTATATAGATCCATTTATATATTATATATATTTCCAAAGATATAAATCTAATATCAAAATGTTTGAAAACCTTCTGGATCTGTTTTTTAAACGAATGATTATTGCAAAAAGTAAAACATAACAATAATATATTTATTAATTTGGATTGTTTTTTATGGACTGTGTGAATATTGTATATTATTGTATATTATGAAATTAAAAATAAAACTAACAATAAAAGAACAAAAATATATATATATAGTTAAAATTATTATATTGGTCAAATTAAGACTATTGAATGTCTTACACACAAACATATATAACGCATATTTTAAAACCTTTTTATATATATATAAAATAAAATGTATATATATTTGCAACAGTTGTGTCAGCAGCAATAATAAGACATGGACACCACGGTGCTGCGTTGTCATGGGAACATCCCAGGCGAAGATAATGAGGAAGTTACGGCTTCTAAACCGTGAATGATATTCAAATGACGATTGTTTTCAGCCGCCATTTATCAACGGCCGATTATTCGTACGACGGGATTGGCTGTATTCGAATGTTTCATGATTCACACGTGAACCCTGTCGTAAGATGATTTCTGCGCTCGGATCTACGTTAGATTGATAAATGAGGCCCACTTAGTAAAGTAGGCTATAAACGCAGGGCTCTTTCTGGAACTTCTCAAAAACTTCCTCTGAGATTCTCAAGGCAATAATCTGAAAAGCAAGGTGAGTTTTTGGAACATACTGAATAACATTTGCTGTGTTTGTTTAAGTGCATTGAGAATCCGCAGTGTGCAGCATTTGAGTGCAGACATTTAACTTTACTTGCTTACTCATTTTCAGATTCATCATGGCAATGCTGAGAAGTCTTCTGCTGCTTTTCGTTATCTTCTCCATGGGCAATGCAGCACATATTTCTGGTAATGCAGAAGGTAACAAAAACATTTAATTGGAAAAACCCTATAGTTTAAATGCGTTTTGGGAATGTGCAAGATTCCATTTACTTATATTTACATGATTAATGAAGAATTTTCAGTGTCAAAATACACATAATTTTTGGCATATAATCACATCCAAAATAAAAAACTCTTTTTGTTGTAAATATTACAAATCCCCATAACATTTATGTACTGATCCACACTTGATTTAGTAGGATGCCGACATGGATGGACCAATTTTGGACAGCGGTGCTACAAGTACTTCTCTCTATCGGTTCACTGGGTAAAAGCAGAGGTAATGTGTTAGTTACAATTACTTCTAGCATGATTTTCACCACACCATATATATTAACTAAATGTTTTTTTTTTTTTTAACAAAACATCACAGAATCTACTTGAGCTGTACTGTGATGCTATTTTCTTCTGGATACAAACTTTGTTGCATTATTGTCCTGTTATCTCTGTAAAGCTGCTTTGATCTCTATTGTAAAAAGCGCCATATATATGAATGTGACTTGACTACAACGAAGTTATTTGGACAACACTTCATATTAGGTGTCTTTAAAGGGATAGTTCACTTTGAAATTAATTTTATGTTTTAGCTTACCTCAAGGGCATCCAAGATGTAGGTGTCTTTGTGTCCACAGTACTTTCAATTTTGATATTTTTAGGTCAAACCGTTCTTGTCTGTCAGTCATATAATGCAGGTCTATGGTCACCACCTCAAAGAGCATGCACAGAGAAGTCCAAATTAAACATGATTTAATGACTCGTAAATGGAAGTAAACATTGATGGCCTAAGACACGAAACGAGCGGTTTGTGTGAGAAAACAAACAGTATTTATATCGTTTTTACCTCTTGTAAACCCAGCCACGTCCAAGTGATCTGAGGTCGCGGGCGCTTCGGTCTTTTCCGGAAAGCGCCGGAAGTATCTCTCGCGCGTGTACAATAAAATATCAACATCAGTTGAGGGCTGCAACTTCACTTTTTAAATGACAATATCGTGGCCGTACTACTGTTGTCAGTGATATAAGTATTTGAAATGAACATGATTTCTTAATGTCTAGAGACACATCAGGGCCATTTTATGATTAATTGAAATGCATTTCTTACATACAGCTCCCTTAATTTAAGTATTACAGATTAAAGATTCTTAGTGTTTCTTTTGAAGCAATTTCTCTTCTGCAAATAAATGCAACACAAAACCGATACAGAGCAAATAATCGATCAGAGCAGACTTTGTTTGCAAATAACTAAAATTGTTTAAAGTCAATTATGCTTCTAAAAAGATTATATTTTGCAATGTCACAAATCTGTCTCTTCAGAGAAACTGTCAAAGTCTTGGTGCGAATCTCGCATCTGTGCATGATCAACCAGAGAATGATTTCCTGCTGAGTCTGTTGCCTTCCTCCACAAGAGCTTGGGTTGGTGGTCATGATGGTGAACAAGTAAGTTAACTTGTGCCCTAAAGAAACCTATTTGTTTGTCTAAACTGAAATTTCTGCTTCAAAGGCAAAGTTTCTAATGAAGAGAGTTTGACTTCAAAGCTGAACTTAATTCGCTTGTCTGACCACTAGTGCACTTTTTGGATTCATTCTCTTTTTACTTAGGATGGAGAGTGGTTGTGGAGTGATGGATCTGTGTATGACTACGACCACTGGTGCTCTGGAGAACCGAACAATTTTGATGTTCCCGAGAACTGTTTGGAGATCAACTGGGACTGTGAGCAGTTAAATTATTTTTTTTAATTATAATTGGCAATCCTATAATTTCATATTATACAGTAACGTTAAACGACTCATTTGGATTTCACCAAGAGCCTTAAGTCGAACACAATTGATTCTAACGCCACTGTAATGATCAGAGTAACTGATTTCATTATTCCACCCTACAGCTAACCGTTGCTGGAACGACTCTCCCTGTTCAACCTCAATGAACTATATTTGTGTTTCGGACATTGAGATAACAACTCCTCCTCCTTTTTTTCCAGAAAACAAACCGATTTCAGAGTAACATTTCGTAAAGAAAGTATAGTACATCTCTTAATATTTTTTCTGAAACCCTCCTCAAATGAATAAAAGCATTGAATCAAAGCATGTGCATTGTGGACAATCAAGTAAATCTATATTGCATAGCAAGGTTTGAGGATCTGGTTCATTAAATGACATTTAATGAAACCAGGGAAGGTTTTTAAGCAAGTGGCTTCATCGACAAGCAAGACATGTGTTTCCTACAATGGTTTGTGAGCAAATTTTGGTTTTCAACCAGGGCTCTTTTTGGTTTCGGTCTTATTAAAATATGATGCTGGAATTCACCATGAGCTTTACATGGTATTCTGGCAAAGTCCAAATCCTCATGGTAATACTGTTACACTGTTGAATGTCACATGAATAATGTAAATGTTAGGTTTTTGTGTCTTTTCGAAAAGAAAATGTTGGTTGGGATCTAGAGCTTCTATCTACTTCCAGCTTCATGAGGTCCCCTGGGGGTCCCTAATGCTAAACACCCCAGTTCTAAACTATAAGATCAGTCGCCTTAAACCTGAGAGATGAAGCTCAATCTGTTATGTCACACTGACACATGCGTTCTAAATCTTCAGCTGCAGTCACGGTTTCAATTTCAAATGTCATAACTTGTAGCTAAAAAGTCCATAAATGGGCTAATAGTTGTTTGTGCCATTCTGAGCTTTAAAACTTTGCATTTGTATGGACTGTTGCTTTAACCCTTAATCACTGTTTGGGGTCACACTGACCCCACTGGACTTTTCCTTCATTTTTTTTGAAAAGTGTTACCTTAATCTCAGGGGCATGAAACTCTGTGACTTTTCCTAAATCTAAACACGCACAAAAAAACTGGGTTTGATTTGGTTGTTCTAAAGGTGTGTAATTTTTTTTTTTTTTACCGTTTAAGATGTTTGTGATCAAAATGACCCCACATTGAAAATGAATTGGAAAATGAAAAAAAAAAAGACACTTTTTCATTTTGTTTGTCAAAAAAAAAGGAAATCCATTATAAATCTGAATTTCTACATATAAACCAAGGACTGGTCCTAGAGCATAAATAAAAAGTGGAACGAACTTTCCATCTCATACACACACAAACACACATGTATGTGACTGCAACAGAGCATTTTTACAGAAATTGGCAAATAAAATTAACAAAACTGGCGTAAATAAAAACAAACAAACAAACATTTAAATCAAGGTCTGGTCCAAGAGCATAAAAAAAAAAGTGGAACGAACTTTCTATCTCATACACACACACAAACAAACACACATGTGTGTGACTGCAATAGAGAGCATTTTTATAGAAATTGGCCACAAATCAACTAAACTGGCATAAATCTGATTTTTTTTACAAATGCAACATGGAACATGCATGTTCCCTCACCCTCTCTCTCACACGCACACACACACACACACATACATGGATATTTTATATAGATCCATTTATATATTATATATATATTTCCAAAGATATAAATCTAATATCAAAATGTATGAAAACCTTCTGGATCTGTTTTTTAAATGAATGATTATTGCAAAAAGTAAAACATAACAATAATATATTTATTAATTTGGAATGTTTTTTATGGACTGTGTGAATATTGTATATTATGAAATTAACAATAAAGCGAACAATAAAAGAACAAATATATATATATATATATATAGTTAAAATTATTATATTGGTCAAATTAAGACTATTGAATGTCTTACACACAAACATATATAACGCATATTTTAAAACCTTTTTATATATATATAAAATAAAATGTATATATATTTGCAACAGTTGTGTCAGCAGCAATAATAAGACATGGACACCACGGTGCTGCGTTGTCATGGGAACATCCCAGGCGAAGATAATGAGGAAGTTACGGCTTCTAAACCGTGAATGATATTCAAATGAAGATTGTTTTCAGCTGCCATTTATCAACGGCCGATTATTCGTACGACGTGATTGGCTGTATTCTAATGTTTCATGATTCACACGTGAACCCTGTCGTAAGATGATTTCTGCGCTCGGATCTACGTTAGATTGATAAATGAGGCCCACTTAGTAAAGTAGGCTATAAACGCAGGGCTCTTTCTGGAACTTCACAAAAACTTCCTCTGAGATTCTCAAGGCAATAATCTGAAAAGCAAGGTGGGTTTTTTGGAACATACTGAATAACATTTGCTGTGTTTTTTTAAGTGCATTGAGAATCCGCAGTGTGCAGCATTTGAGTGCAGACATTTAACTTTACTTGCTTATTCATTTGCAGATTCATCATGGCAATGCTGAGAAGTCTTCTGCTGCTTTTCGTTATCTTCTCCATGGGCAATGCAGCACATATTTCTGGTAATGCAGAAGGTAACAAAAACATTTAATTGGAAAAACCCTATAGTTTAAATGCGTTTTGGGAATGTGCAAGATTCCATTTACTTATATTTACATGATTAATGAAGGATTTTCAGTGTCAAAATACACATAATTTTTGGCATATAATCACATCCAAAATAAAAAACTCTTTTTGTTGTAAATATTACAAATCCCCATAACATTTATGTACTGATCCACACTTGATTTAGTAGGATGCCGACATGGATGGACCAATTTTGGACAGCGGTGCTACAAGTACTTCTCTCTATCGGTTCACTGGGTAAAAGCAGAGGTAATGTGTTAGTTACAATTACTTCTAGCATGATTTTCACCACACCATATATATATTAACTAAATGTTTTTTTTTTTTTTTTTTAACAAAACATCACAGAATCTACTTAAGCTGTACTGTGATGCTATTTTCTTCTGGATACAAACTTTGTTGCATTATTGTCCTGTTATCTCTGTAAAGCTGCTTTGATCTCTATTGTAAAAAGCGCCATATATATGAATATGACTTGACTACAATGAAGTTATTTGGACAACATTTCATATTAGGTGTCTATAAAGGGATAGTTCACTTTGAAATTAATTTTTGATATGTTTTAGCTTACCTCAAGGGCATCCAAGATGTAGGTGTCTTTGTGTACACAGTACTTTCAATTTTGATATTTTAAGGTCAAACCGTTCTTGTCGGTCATATAATGCAGGTCTATGGTCACCACCTCAAAGAGCGTACACAGAGAAGTCCAAATTAAACATGATTTAATGACTCGTAAATGTTAGTACACATTGATGGCCTAAGACACGAAACAAGCGGTTTGTGTGAGAAAACAAACCGTATTTATATCGTTTTTACCTCTTGTAAACAGCCACGTTCAAGTGATCTGAGGTCGCGGGCGCTTCGGTCTTTTCCGGAAAGTGCCGGAAGTGATCTCTCGCGCGTGTACGTCACTCATTGTTTACACAGAACAGAGATTGTAGGTAAGACGGCTAATTAAAAGGATACTAATTTGCGCTTATCCGGGATGTTTAAACCGTCGTAAAAGAATACGATTCCAAAAAAATTAAACAATTGTATGAGTGACGTACACGCGCGAGAGATCACTTCCGGTGCTTTCCGGAGAAGACCGAAGCGCTCGCGACCTCAGATCACTTGGACGTGGCTGGGTTTACAAGAGGTAAAAACAATATAAATACTGTTTGTTTTCTCACACAAACCGCTCGTTTCATGTCTTAGGCCATCAATGTTTACTTCCATTTACGAGTCATTAAATCATGTTTAATTTGGACTTCTCTGTGCATGCTCTTTGAGGAAGTGACCATAGACCTGCATTATATGACCGACAAGAACGGTTTGACCTAAAAATATCAAAATTGAAAATACTGTGGACACAAAGACACCTACATCTTTTGGATGCCCTCGAGGTAAGCTAAAATGCATGGGCGTAGGTTTGGTCTCAGCTTTGGTGGGGACATCCCCCCCCCCAGCCGGGAATTATTTTGTTGTAAGATAAGTAACAGTGCTTTAATGGTGATTTCCTTTGTCATTTCTATTGTTCTCAATTGTTAGTCGTTGGATAAAAAGTGTTTGCTAAATGAATAAATGTAAATCTGTTGTGGTTTGATGCTGTCTTTCCTGCATACAAAATGGTTAATTAATTTTGTAGTCTATCCTATGGCTAGCAAGTTTAACCCTCCTACCAGATATTGTTATTTTGGATATTATCAATCAAATAATGATTTATTATATTTGAATAACCAACAGTGTTAACTTTTGCCTTTTTAACATTGCCAACATGTTTTTCCAGCACATGTGTCTAAGCAAGTAGGCTACACTCACAAATACATTACATAAACAGAATGTAGAAACGAAAAATGTCTCAGATCCACTGTTTATGACGGCAAGATTCTAAGTTAAGGTAGGCTAATTAACATTCAGTGACTTGCTAACGTAGCATTCTATCATGATAGTGCGACTTCTATGAGTCTATCTGTGCTGCACACCCCTAATTAATGCTCCTAACCTTGAAAGATTGCAGAAGCTTCAAGCTAGGTTTAACTGTAACAATATCCTGGGTAACCAGGATCACCAGTTAATACTATTTTCCACTAGAATCTGCATTTGAAAGCCTGGTCAGTCACTACTACTGCTAGTTATTTTTGCCTACTTACAATCTGCTTTATGAAAAAGCTTCGTATGTCCCCTTTCTTCTTCTTGGGTGACATAGCTGATCTACAAAGTACAAAAAGGGGCAAAAAACCGGAATATTAAAATATTTTACTCTGGCCTTTGTATATGGCACGCAGAGACAGCCCTGGGCTGGTAACTTACCGTCGGCGTCGTCACGCGCGCACACACACACACCACCCGCTCGCTCGCTGCCAGTGAGTGCAAGCACAAAAAGTAGTCCCGGCCCGCGCGTGTAGCCTGCCTGTCAGATACCCTGCCGCCAATCAAATTACGGCGTATCTTGTACTGTCGTCGTCCTGGCCGTTGGAATCGATCCAAATGGCAGCGCAAAGATCCAAATGCAGCGCAAATATCAAAATAGCAGTTCAAAGGAGCTTGCTAAATATTGGTGGGGACAAATTTGTCATCTCAAAATATTGATTGGGACTAGTACCTAGCGTCCCCCCCTAAACCT